ACTGTGTAACTGCCTCGAGGGTGCTTGACCATTTTAACACAACGTGGTGCGATCATCCCCCTTGCGCGGAGTGAGGGTTCTCCACCCCGCACAACATGATCTACTCGACCACCATTATGGTTACCGCCAAAAAAAACCGGAGGTGAAAAAAAAAACGGTAACCTGGTTGCCGAGTTCACGAAGTGAATTGGCTTGTTTTACAACGTCGTTGCCAAGCGACGAAACCCAATCCCGATGGCAAACACCGGGGGCGGCGGCTTGTTTTACAACGTCGTTGCCAAGCGACGAAAACCCAACCCCGATGGTAAACACCGAGACGGGGGGGGTGTGTTTTTTTTAGCAAAATAGCTCAGTGTGAGATGGGCACTGAATGCTGTCGCGCACCGACGATACAACGCAGTATGAATGTGGTGTATGTTTCTGATTGGAACATAGACGAGAAGGAACCGTCGCCGAAGTTATTTGTTTGCATTCTATTACAAACTGGTTCAAGGAAATGGATACGAAATGTTCGACATGAAAAAATCCCACCGTTTTTAGGAGTTGGAGTTTGAAAATTTGCACACATGTACCTTGAGCTAGTGCGAAACGCTGTATGGAGGGTCCTTTTTTTCTGCTCCTGTCGCCGGATATCCGGGGTCCTGTAATAGAAAATTCGGGGTCATGTGCGGCTCCTGGGACCCCGAATAACCGGCGACCATGAAAGACAATTAAAACCCCCCGCCGCACAGCGTTTCGCACGAACCCAATGCATATGTGTGCAAAGTTTCAAAGTCTAATTCCTAAAAACGGCGTGACGTTTTCAGCTTTTGTGACGTGGAATTATCGCGCATCCTAATTTTCGCCAAACTACTTGATATTGGTAAAGATTCAGATCGGCGGGGCCCCTTTTTCACTGTAAAGCCCTGTGCTGCCCCAGTTTTTCAAGTGTTACCTCAAATCTTCCTGGAAAGGATCATTGAACTGTCTCGGAGCGGAAAAAAAAAGAAGTGGTTTTCATATATTTGGAACCGGCTTTCGGGGGTTCCACGCCGGGGACCCCGATACGTCGGTCACGAGTGCAAACATCGTTTCATTTTTATTTTGCGGTTGGCGCAACTTTGTTGCACCATATTATCAAAGTCTGAGGACTATTCAACTTTGTCTTCGGTACGTATATACAAGGCAAACCAACACGAGACTCTGTGTATTTTTTCCCATATACAATCCGTCCATGGAAATTCGACGACGCCAAATAGCGGCACTCGAAACACCATTTTGGGCATAACTCGCCTCCTCAATGACCGTTTTCAATATCTATTTTTTGTAGGTCCCCTAGAGCATCGGGAATTGCTTCGTTGCACAACTGCGGTAGAAAGAGGTGGGAAGTGCGGGTTTGCATGCATTGTTCGGTTTTCATGATATTGGAGGCTTCTGATTGGCTGAGACACATGTATGCCCATTGCATTGTGGACACGGCTCTGATTGAAATTCCGGCCACGGTGATTTGTTCCCTTGCTCATGGGGGTCACTATGATACCCCATGTGTCGACATTGTGTGCGTATTTCGTCTGGCAGCTGTGATTGAATAGTTTAGGTTCATTTCCGTGAACCAGCGTAATATTGTCTCTGTGCCAGCCTTCGTTTTTGCGTTATTTCTGGCTCTCCCTTGAGCTGGCCCTCTGTCATATTTCGTTTGCTCATCTAACCGACCGACTTCGTTTCCACATTCATTGGAGCATTATGTTTCAGCCGCTAGCCCCCCTGATACCCTCGAATTTGAATCGGGGCACGGTTACCGCTTGGTCCCCCCGATGTCCCTTTTCAACCCTTGCTCATTTTTCTGTCTTGATTTCATACTCCTATCAACTTGATGCTCCTTGGGGGTCCCGTGCACGACACATGGTATGGTGTGGTTTGGTATTGTTCCACAGGTGGCGTTTCCGTTCTTCGTGTCGTTCTTGCTCCTCGTCCTCGTGGTGATCCTGCCGCTGCTTCTCGGGATCGTTCTAGACGCCTACGCCCAGCAGCACGCTCGCCAGCACGAGCGATACAGGCGAAAGGTGTGCGCACGGCATACACGGAAAACTCACAAGAAGACTCTGACGTTGTACAAGTAGGGGATTGTGGCTACACGTGGGCTCTTGTTCTCTTTCTTCATATATAGCGCTAAATCGCATTGTACCTATTCAATGTATGCCGTACTACTACCATGCGGCTTCGTTCTGCACCAAACGAACGGGATCAGGCAGGCTTGCAGATTGCGTCCATCTTGACGCCCGTTTTCTCAATACTCTTTGTACGGCAGAGAATTAAGTTCCAAAGAGTCAATGTATTCGAATTCACGTCATGGTAGTTTCAAAGCATGCAGTCCACAGCTATAGCAGGAAGGCGAAGCGTTTCTTCTGAGAGAGGGGGCTCCAAGTCGGTTGTGACGCCCGTGTCCGTCCCGGGCTACAACATCCGTATTTCCGGCGTAATTTTTTGTCCTACGGTTAGTCCGCTAGTTCACCGGGTCTGAAACAATTTTGGTTGCCATGTTTTTGCTTTCGAAACCATGGCAACATGGAACGCATTGTTGAAACCGTTTCCGATGACGGATTGTAGGCTCGAAACGCTTTGCTGGCGGCGTACTTCGTCTTGGACGACGACGGCGTGGAGGGTCTTAGCCGCGACCAGGTGGTCGGCGTTCTGACAGTTGAGGCAGGCGTAGGCATCGACAGAGAACAGGTGCGAAGGCGCGAAGGGCAACGTGAACCCAAGTGATCAACACACGTGGGACTGCTCAAGAGACTCGAGGGGGGGGTTGTACTCATAGAGTACGTCAGAGATTCCGGAGGGGGGGAGGGGGTGTACTCATAGTCGTGCATGCCGTAGTCGTTACGCCATTGACCTCGCATCCCTACAAAGCCGGGACGGAGCACGCCGGGTTCTCACCGGACNTAGTCGTGCATGCCGTAGTCGTTACGCCATTGACCTCGTATCCCTACAAAGCCGGGACGAAGCACGCCGGGTCCTCACCGGACCAGGCTCACTCATGGAAGCGCATGCCGTAGTCGGTAGGCTATTGACCTCGCATCCCTACGTTGCCGGGACGGAGCGATATGCCGGGTTTTACGCCGACCCTGACTACGTTCCACAAGGATGAACCAGAAGCTAAATAGTCATTGCCCTTGCATTTGCTGTACCAAACCAGGCCAGAAAGGGGTGCTCTTGCGATTTTTGTTGGTTGTGGGGTTTAGCTATGAAGGTTGCCGGGATGTTCATGTACCAGAGTATCGTGGGCCCAATTTTCTGCTATGTTCCTGCCGCTTGCGACACAACAAGATATGCGTGTGCTTAGGCTCCATCGCGTAGTCACAGCGACACGGGAATTCGTCGGAAACTTGTGCGTCGTCTAAGCAGGCAGAGCAGCTGTGGCACGTGCTTGTACCAGAAGACCAAGACGACTTCGTATACTCCCGAAGCTACTCCGTCCCCATCGGAAGCGACCGATTTGGCGAAGGCTCCACACCCCCTGCCAACAACACCAGCGACAACGACAACGATGTCGGGAAGAAAAATAGCCGTACCGGCAGCAGCACCCACGCCGCAAAGGACGGGTTTCGAATGGCTCGCGCGAGGGCGCGTTCACTTCCGCATGGGCCAAGCGGCGGCGGCCACAGCAATGGCAACGTGGGGCGCGGTATCCGTGGCGGTAGCGACCGTCGATTGGACGTGCATGCCTTCTTGCGCCTGGCGGACCTGCTACACGTCAAGGTCGTTGAGTCTGGGGAGGACGGCGACGGCGTGGAAGGGGGACGGACATGCTTCATCGCCGGGTACGGTGATGAGGGCTTCGGATCGGCTCACGGACGACAAACGTGGGAGAGAGGGGAGGGGGCACGCGGCGCGGGATCTTCGGGCGATGGTAAGTCCAGCTTTCGAGAGGACGAAGAAGAACCTGAGGGAGGAGGAGAGCAGGAGCGCCAAAAGGTTTGCTGGTGTCCGGGAGACAAGCGTGGAAACAGCGACAGCACCAACAACAGTGATTGGCGGAGTGCTGACAGCGAGGGTTGTCGTGGAGATAGTGATTCCGCCGCCTTTTGTCCCCAACGGAAGCTGAAGCGGTTAGCCCATCGGATAGGAGAGCAGGCGAGAGCCACGGCGAGAGACATGGTGGGGCGGGAGTGGTTCAGCCTGATGTCGAAGGGCATTGGCGTTCTGCTGGCAATGCTGGCGGTGACTTGGACCCCACGATCGCAGCTGCGCTACGACAAGTGTGCGTTGGGGGAGAGAGAGGAGGTGTGCGACAAGCCGCACGAGAGTGAAGTGGGCTTCCTGCGGGAGGACTTGTTCAGGCGGCTGGAGGGACTCGTGCTGTTGGCGTTTTCTTTTGAGATGGCGGCCAAGGTATCTATATCTGTCTAGACTATAGGCATTCAAATCTGTCTATCTACTTTACCTGTCTATCCATCTGTCCGGTGATGATCTGTTCATTGTTTCACTTTCGACGAGCCTAGGATGGCACGAAGCTCTCCTTTGTTGGCTGGACATTCACCTCAAGTCCGCCCTTCTGTCGCTCCAAAGCTTAGACATGGCCGTTGGCGGTAAGACCGTGGAAGACGATTTGCTTGCTTGTGGCAAAGACAGGCAGCCAGGCAGCCAGACAGGCAAACAGACGGCTTCGAGTGAGAGGGTATTTATTTGCTAGCGCTCGGCAACAGCGTGGACCTAAGTTCATCGGATACGAGCGGCGTAGATGGAAGTTCTTCCCGGAGGGGAGTATTTGGAAGAATTTGTAACGCCAACAACATAGCACCACATATGAAGACATCGCTATGTTATCCTGGACTCTTCATCTTTAAATTGAGGATTAATTGTGCTCTGTTTCTGTAAGAAAATATATACTAACACGTACATATATACATACGTACGTATATACTGTAGCGAAGAACGACAAGATGATATACTTTTGACTTTCTCTCCCCTGGCAGGTGCTAGCGGTCGGGGGCAGGCGCCTCTTGCGTGTCCACTGGGCACACAGGTTCGACTTGATCATCCTCGTGACGTGCTTGGCGTCGTACCTTCTCGTGGGCGTGCCGGGCAACAGACGGGCCCTCTACGTCGATGACCGCCCCGTGTTGAGCGACGTCGTAGAGCTGCCGATGGCCCTTGCGGTGCTCAGGTGCGATGGTGTGGTCCATCTACCGTCTGCGGCTCTTGCGAAATGTTTCCCTGAGTGCTTGGGTGCTTGCCGCACAGATTGTGCTCGTCGAAGTTGGTGGTGGCAGTGGGGACGGTGACTTTGATTGTCACTGGCGCACCGCTTGTTCTCATATTTTTTTCGTCTGTTGTTGTTGGAGTGTGTGTCGCGCACACCATGGCTTTCGGTGGCTTGGTGTATGAAGTAGTAGGATTAATCCAATCGGACGCTGGGTCAGATAATGTGACCATCCTCGCATTCCTACATGTACGAGGCCGGCATTGTTCCGCTGAAAGAACTGATTGTTGTGTTCCTGTGTAAACATGGAGGCGCTGGCGATATCCGTCTGGTGCACGCCATGTACACACGGGCGCTTTGTCAAACCCACGTTTGATTGTTTCGATGCACCATCAGTAGTGCAGCATGTGCGATGCGGACACTGCCTGTGGTGTGGGGCGTCGTGAAAACAGTCGCTCGTCACCACGTTGTCTCCGACGAGACCAGGCATTCAAGTACTTACCGGTAATCCGCACCACCTTAATGATCCCCGTCTGTGCATGTGGAAAGTTGTCCCCTACAACGAACGCCTTTTTCTCCTTGTTGTACCCCTGGGTGCCTCCGTTTCCTGTGCTGCCATCGTTCTTGAAACGCGCGATTGGATTGGTCGAATGAGACAGGTTGGTGACGGTCTTCCCCCAGCTTCGGAAGCTGCTCGAGACCATGTCGACGGTGGCGGGCGTGCTGATGAAGATCATGGTGCTATACTCTTGTGTGTCGTACAGCTTCGCTACGCTAGGCATGGCCATCTTCGCCAACGCAAGGAGCGACCTGTTGGAGTCGAGGTCAGGGCTGAGAATGGGTGTTTCAGATCATGGGGGAATGTGGAGAGGGGCTTTGGGTATGGGGTACGGTAATCCGTGATGTATCTGTTAGTCATGGAATGCATATGGTACGTGGGTATTCAGTTTTGGTGCGTGGGCGTGTTCTCGTTTCGACAAGAATTCGTTGTGTCTGTCGACGTGCTTTTTGAGGCCTATCTTGAATCGGTTAGCAGTTTACCTTTTGGGTGTACGATTTTTTCACCTATCTGGCACCCATCTTCCGTAGCAGCTGATGTTGTTCAACGCCTCGATTCGCGAAATGACATAGTGTGCAGCCTGTCCATCTCTATTGAGCCCACATGCCATGGTACACATTTTCAACTTCCGCTTTCCACCTCTGTTTGGTTGTGACAAGCTCTTCTTGAGGCTCTTTTGGCCGTCAACTCTCCAACTTCGTTTTTTTTCGCCCCTGTCGACACACCTCTCTTTAGGGCGGGTATGTGCCAAGCCGGTTCACCCGCCCTATAGCGGGCACCCGTTCCATCCACGGTGTACCAAAATACTTGCGATTCTATCTGTGCCTAGCAAGAAACTTCTCCCGGACCATGCCCGCCACCCGCCCTATCAAGCGACCCCGACTTTGTTCACGGATTTTTCAGTCTTCTGTCCACTTCCTGCCAGGCATGCATGCTCCCCACCCACCTCTTGTGGCCACCCCATAGTCCGTCACTCCCACAACCCCCGTTGGCTGTCCTCGTTGCCTAGGTACTCGTTCTCCACGCTGCCCGAGGCCGCCATGACACTTTTCTTCTTGACCGTTTCCAACAACTGGAACGACCTGCTCTACCCTCTAGTCGACTCGGTGAGGCCATTCCATCCAAACTGTTTGTTGTTGTTGTTGTTGTTGTTGTTGTTGTTGTTGTTGTTGTTGTTGTTGTCTTCATATTCAATGCACCGTGGTTTTGTACCGTGATCTGACGATAGAACCGGGTTAGTCTATGGAAGATGGTCTAACCTCTAGTTGACTACATCGTCGAGTCGGTGAGAGATGTGTCGATCTCTTCCGCGGGCGCCGTGACCACCATTCATTATTTCATCCGCGGTTATTCACCGTGACCTTGGCGATAGAACCAGGCTAGTCCATGGAAGATGCCCTTCCCAATAGTCGACTAGTCGACTCGGTGAGAGGACTACCAATCCATCTTTTCCACTGGTGCCATGATCCATCATCCCACTGGTTTTGAACGCTCTCCACTTTCTTCAACCGTCGTGTTTTACAGTCATCATGATGATAGAAAGGGGGTTAGTCCATGGAAAATGCAACCCACCTCGCTCGCCCCCCCCCACCCATCGCACCTTTTTGCGCTGTGCACAACCCCTTTTGGTTATACCAAAGAATCGGTTGGGCCGCTGGTCTGCGATCTATCTCGTGGCGTATATGCTGTTCTGCGCCACCATGATGCTGGACGTCCTCACCGGCGTGGTGATCGAAGGCTTCCGCGTCTCCACCAAGGGCCCGGAGCAAGCACAAGACCTAGGGTTACGGTTTGCCTCAACGGCGTCAGCTAGAGCCGGTGATGTCACTGATCGGCCCACGCTCGCCCGAAGCGATGACGGTGATTCTGGCGGCGACGGGGGCGCGAGCTCTGGCAACAGCGTCGGGGATGACGAGGACGACACCCATGGTGAGGAGCGTTGATGTGGGTGTATCATGTAGACGCGTGCCGTGGTCATTACACCGGGGCGGGGCGGGGCGGGGGGGGGGGGGGG